CCTGTCGGTTAACAGCCGAACGCCCTAAGTGATTGCGCCACAGAGAGTGCAACAATGGTGTTATGTTGTATTCATATCGCGAATCCACACATGAAAAAATGTGTGTAATAAAAACTAGTACTTCGACCCTGGGTGGGCTAGAACCACCGACCTTTCGGTTAACAGCCGAACGCGGTAACCGATTGCGCCACAGAGACTGCAACATTGATGTTATGTTGTATTCATATCGCGAATCCACACATGAGAAAATGTGTGTAATAAAAACTTGTACTTCGGCCCTGGGTGGCCTTGAACCACCAACCTATCAATTAACAGCCGAACGCCCTAACCGATTGCGACACAGAGACTGCAACAATGATGTTAAGTTGTATTCATATTGCGAATCCACCCATGATAAATTGAGTTTAAGAAAATCTTGTACTTCGTCCCTGGGTAGGCTTGAACCACCAACCTTTCGGTTAACAGCCGAAAACGCTAACCGATTGCGCCACAGAGACTGCAACAATGGTGTTATGTTGTATTCATATCGCGAATCCACACATGAGAAAATGTGTGTAATAAAAACTTATACTTCGTCCCTGGGTGGGGTTGAATCCCTTACCGATTGCGCCACAGAGACTGCAACAATGGTGTTATGTTGTATTCATATCGCGAATCCACACATGAGAAAATGTGTGTAATAAAAACTTCTACATCGTCCCTGGGTGGGCTTGAACCACCAACCTTTCGGTTAACAGCCGACGCCCTAACCGATTGCGCCCACAGAGACTGCAACAATGATGTTAAGTTGTATTCATATTGCGAATCCACCCATGATAAATTGAGTTAAGAAAATCTGTACTTCGTCCCTGGGTAGGCTTGAACCACCAACCTTTCGGTTAACAGCCGAACGCGCTAACCGATTGCGCAACCTTTCGGTTAACAGCCGAACGCGCTAACCGATTGCGCCACAGAGACTGCAATATTAGAGTTATGTTTTATTCATATCGCGAATCCACACATGAGAAAATGTGTGTAATAAAAGCTTGTACTTCGTCCCTGGATGAGCTTGAACCACCAACCTTTCGGTTAACAGCCGAACGCGCTAACCGATTGCGCCACAGAGACTGCAACATTGATGTTATGTTGTATTCATATCGCGAATCCACACATGAGAAAATGTGTGTAATAAAAGCTTGTACTTCGTCCCTGGGTGAGCTTGAACCACAAACCTGTCGGTTAACAGCCGAACGCCCTAACTGATTGCGCCACAGAGAGTGCAACAATGGTGTTATGTTGTATTCATATCGCGAATCCACACATGAGAAAATGTGTGTAATAAAAACTTATACTTCGTCCCTGGGTGGGGTTGAATCCCTAACCGATTGCGCCACAGAGACTGCAACAATGGTGTTATGTTGTATTCATATCGCGAATCCACACATGAGAAAATGTGTGTAATAAAAGCTTGTACTTCGTCCCTGGGTGAGCTTGAACCACAAACCTGTCGGTTAACAGCCGAACGCCCTAGCCGATTGCGCCACAGAGACTGCAACAATGGTGTTATGCTGTATTCATATCGCGAATCCACACATGAGAAAATGTGTGTAATAAAAACTTATACTTCGTCATTGGGTGGGGTTGAACCACCAACCTTTCGGTTAACAGCCGAACGCGCTAACCGATTGCGCCACAGACACTGCAACAATGGTGTTATGTTGTATTCATATCGCGAATCCACACATGAGAAAATGTGTGTAATAAAAACTTCTACATCGTCCCTGGGTGGGCTTGAACCACCAACCTTTCGGTTAACAGCCGAACGCGCTAACCGATTGCGCCACAGAGACTGCAACATTGATGTTATGTTGTATTCATATCGCGAATCCACACATGAAAAAATGTGTGTAATAAAAACTTCTACATCGTCCCTGGGTGGGCTTGAACCACCAACCTTTCGGTTAACAGCCGAACGCCCTAACCGATTGCGCCACAGAGACTGCAACAATGATGTTAAGTTGTATTCATATTGCGAATCCACCCATGATAAATTGAGTTTAAGAAAATCTTGTACTTCGTCCCTGGGTAGGCTTGAACCACCAACCTTTCGGTTAACAGCCGAACGCGCTAACCGATTGCACCACAGACACTGCAATAATGGCGTTATGTTGTATTCATATCGCGAATCCACACATGAGAAAATGTGTGTAATAAAAACTTATACTTCGTCCCTGGGTGGGCTTGAATCCCTAACCGATTGCGCCACAGAGACTGCAACAATGGTGTTATGTTGTATTCATATCGCGAATCCACACATGAGAAAATGTGTGTAATAAAATCTTCTACATCGTCCCTGGGTGGGCTTGAACCACCAACCTTTCGGTTAACAGCCGAACGCGCTAACCGATTGCGCCACAGAGACTGCAACATTGATGTTATGTTGTATTCATATCGCGAATCCACACATGAAAAAATGTGTGTAATAAAAACTTGTACTTCGTCCCTGGGTGGGCTTGAACCACCAACCTTTCGGTTAACAGCCGAACGCGCTAACCGATTGCGCCACAGAGTCTGCAACATTGATGTTATGTTGTATTCATATCGCGAATCCACACATGAGAAAATGTGTGTAATAAAAGCTTGTACTTCGTCCCTGGGTGAGCTTGAACCACAAACCTGTCGGTTAACAGCCGAACGCCCTAACTGATTGCGCCACAGAGAGTGCAACAATGGTGTTATGTTGTATTCATATCGCGAATCCACACATGAGAAAATGTGTGTAATAAAAACTTATACTTCGTCCCTGGGTGGGCTTGAATCCCTAACCGATTGCGCCACAGAGACTGCAACAATGGTGTTATGTTGTATTCATATCGCGAATCCACACATGAGAAAATGTGTGTAATAAAAGCTTGTACTTCGTCCCTGGGTGAGCTTGAACCACAAACCTGTCGGTTAACAGCCGAACGCCCTAGCCGATTGCGCCACAGAGACTGCAACAATGGTGTTATGCTGTATTCATATCGCGAATCCACACATGAGAAAATGTGTGTAATAAAAACTTATACTTCGTCATTGGGTGGGGTTGAACCACCAACCTTTCGGTTAACAGCCGAACGCGCTAACCGATTGCGCCACAGACACTGCAACAATGGTGTTATGTTGTATTCATATCGCGAATCCACACATGAGAAAATGTGTGTAATAAAAACTTCTACATCGTCCCTGGGTGGGCTTGAACCACCAACCTTTCGGTTAACAGCCGAACGCGCTAACCGATTGCGCCACAGAGACTGCAACATTGATGTTATGTTGTATTCATATCGCGAATCCACACATGAAAAAATGTGTGTAATAAAAACTAGTACTTCGACCCTGGGTGGGCTAGAACCACCGACCTTTCGGTTAACAGCCGAACGCGGTAACCGATTGCGCCACAGAGACTGCAACATTGATGTTATGTTGTATTCATATCGCGAATCCACACATGAGAAAATGTGTGTAATAAAAACTTGTACTTCGGCCCTGGGTGGCCTTAAACCACCAACCTATCAATTAACAGCCGAACGCCCTAACCGATTGCGACACAGAGACTGCAACAATGATGTTAAGTTGTATTCATATTGCGAATCCACCTATGATAAATTGAGTTTAAGAAAATCTTGTACTTCTTCCCTGGGTAGGCTTGAACCACAAACATTTCGGTTAACAGCCAAAAGCCCTAACCGATTGCGCCACAGAAACTGCAACATTGATGTTATGTTGTATTCATATCGCGAATCCACACATGCGAAAATATGTGTAATAAAATATTGTACTTCGTCCCTGGCTGGGCTTGAACAGCAACCTTTCGGTTAACAGCCGAACGCGCTAACCGATTGCGCCACAGAGACGGAACAATGGTGTTATGTTGTATTCATATCGCGAATTCACACATGAGAAAATGTGTGTAATAAAACTTGTACTTCGTCCCTGGGTGGGCTTGAACCACCAACCTTTCGGTTAACAGCCGAACGCGCTAACCGATTGCACCACAGACACTGCAACATTGATGTTATGTTGTATTCATATCGCGAATCCACACATGCGAAAATGTGTGTAATAAAAACTTGTACTTCGGCCCTGGGTGGCCTTGAACCACCAACCTATCAATTAACAGCCGAACGCCCTAACCGACTGCGCCACAGAGACTGCAACAATGATGTTAAGTTGTATTCATATTGCGAATCCACCCATGATAAATTGAGTTTAAGAAAATCTTGTACTTCTTCCCTGGGTAGGCTTGAACCACAAACCTTTCGGTTAACAGCCAAAAGCCCTAACCGATTGCGCCACAGAAACTGCAACAATGGTGTTATGTTGTATTCACATCGCGAATCCACACATGAGAAAATGTGTGTAATAAAAACTTTTACTTCGTCCCTAGGTGGGCTTGAACCACCAACCTCTCCGGTTAACAGCCGAACGCGCTAACCGATTGCGCCACAGAGACTGCAACATTGGTGTTATGTTGTATTCATATTGCGAATCCATACATGATAAATTGAGTTTAGAAAAATCTTGTACTTCGTCCCTGGGTGGGCTTGAACCACCAACCTTTCGGTTAACAGCCGAACGCGCTAACCGATTGCGCAACCTTTCGGTTAACAGCCGAACGCGCTAACCGATTGCGCCACAGAGACTGCAACATTAGAGTTATGTTTTATTCATATCGCGAATCCACACATGAGAAAATGTGTGTAATAAAAGCTTGTACTTCGTCCCTGGGTGATCTTGAACCACAAACCTGTCGGTTAACAGCCGAACGCCCTAACCGATTGCGCCACAGAGACTGCAACATTGATGTTATGTTGTATTCATATCGCGAATCCACACATGAAAAAATGTGTGTATAAAAACTAGTACTTCGGCCCTGGGTGGGCTTGAACCACCAACTAACCGATTGCGCCACAGAGACTGCAACAATGATGTAAGTGTATCATATTGCGAATCCACCCATGATAAATTGAGTTTAAGAAAATCTGTACTTCGGCCCTGGGTAGGCTTGAACCACCAACCTTTCGGTTAACAGCCGAACGCGCTAACCGATTGCGCAACCTTTCGGTTAACAGCCGAACGCGCTAACCGATTGCGCCACAGAGACTGCAACATTAGAGTTATGTTTTATTCATATCGCGAATCCACACATGAGAAAATGTGTGTAATAAAAGCTTGTACTTCGTCCCTGGGTGAGCTTGAACCACAAACCTGTCGGTTAACAGCCGAACGCCCTAGCCGATTGCGCCACAGAGACTGCAACAATGGTGTTATGCTGTATTCATATCGCGAATCCACACATGAGAAAATGTGTGTAATAAAAACTTATACTTCGTCATTGGGTGGGGTTGAACCACCAACCTTTCGGTTAACAGCCGAACGCGCTAACCGATTGCGCCACAGACACTGCAACAATGGTGTTATGTTGTATTCATATCGCGAATCCACACATGAGAAAATGTGTGTAATAAAAACTTCTACATCGTCCCTGGGTGGGCTTGAACCACCAACCTTTCGGTTAACAGCCGAACGCGCTAACCGATTGCGCCACAGAGACTGCAACATTGATGTTATGTTGTATTCATATCGCGAATCCACACATGAAAAAATGTGTGTAATAAAAACTAGTACTTCGACCCTGGGTGGGCTAGAACCACCGACCTTTCGGTTAACAGCCGAACGCGGTAACCGATTGCGCCACAGAGACTGCAACATTGATGTTATGTTGTATTCATATCGCGAATCCACACATGAGAAAATGTGTGTAATAAAAACTTGTACTTCGGCCCTGGGTGGCCTTGAACCACCAACCTATCAATTAACAGCCGAACGCCCTAACCGTTTGCGACACAGAGACTGCAACAATGATGTTAAGTTGTATTCATATTGCGAATCCACCCATGATAAATTGAGTTTAAGATAATCTTGTACTTCGTCCCTGGGTAGGCTTGAACCACCAACCTTTCGGTTAACAGCCGAACACGCTAACCGATTGCGCCACAGAGACTGCAACAATGGTGATATGTTGTATTCATATCGCGAATCCACACATGAGAAAATGTGTGTAATAAAAACTTATACTTCGTCCCTGGGTGGGGTTGAAATCCCTTACCGATTGCGCCACAGAGACTGCAACAATGGTGTTATGTTGTATTCATATCGCGAATCCACACATGAGAAAATGTGTGTAATAAAAACTTCTACATCGTCCCTGGGTGGGCTTGAACCACCAACCTTTCGGTTAACAGCCGAACGCCCTAACCGATTGCGCCACAGAGACTGCAACAATGATGTTAAGTTGTATTCATATTGCGAATCCACCCATGATAAATTGAGTTTAAGAAAATCTTGTACTTCGTCCCTGGGTAGGCTTGAACCACCAACCTTTCGGTTAACAGCCGAACGCGCTAACCGATTGCACCACAGACACTGCAATAATGGCGTTATGTTGTATTCATATCGCGAATCCACACATGAGAAAATGTGTGTAATAAAAACTTATACTTCGTCCCTGGGTGGGCTTGAATCCCTAACCGATTGTGCCACAGAGACTGCAACAATGGTGTTATGTTGTATTCATATCGCGAATCCACACATGAGAAAATGTGTGTAATAAAATCTTCTACATCGTCCCTGGGTGGGCTTGAACCACCAACCTTTCGGTTAACAGCCGAACGCGCTAACCGATTGCGCCACAGAGACTGCAACGTTGATGTTATGTTGTATTCATATCGCGAATCCACACATGAGAAAATGTGTGTAATAAAAGCTTGTACTTCGTCCCTGGGTGAGCTTGAACCACAAACCTGTCGGTTAACAGCTGAACGCCCTAACCGATTGCGCCACAGAGACTGCAACAATGGTGTTATGTTGTATTCATATCGCGAATCCACACATGAGAAAATGTGTGTAATAAAAACTTATACTTCGTCCCTGGGTGGGGTTGAATCCCTAACCGATTGCGCCACAGAGACTGCAACAATGGTGTTATGTTGTATTCATATCGCGAATCCACACATGAGAAAATGTGTGTAATAAAAGCTTGTACTTCGTCCCTGGGTGAGCTTGAACCACAAACCTGTCGGTTAACAGCCGAACGCCCTAGCCGATTGCGCCACAGAGACTGCAACAATGGTGTTATGCTGTATTCATATCGCGAATCCACACATGAGAAAATGTGTGTAATAAAAACTTATACTTCGTCATTGGGTGGGGTTGAACCACCAACCTTTCGGTTAACAGCCGAACGCGCTAACCGATTGCGCCACAGACACTGCAACAATGGTGTTATGTTGTATTCATATCGCGAATCCACACATGAGAAAATGTGTGTAATAAAAACTTCTACATCGTCCCTGGGTGGGCTTGAACCACCAACCTTTCGGTTAACAGCCGAACGCGCTAACCGATTGCGCCACAGAGACTGCAACATTGATGTTATGTTGTATTCATATCGCGAATCCACACATGAAAAAATGTGTGTAATAAAAACTAGTACTTCGACCCTGGGTGGGCTAGAACCACCGACCTTTCGGTTAACAGCCGAACGCGGTAACCGATTGCGCCACAGAGACTGCAACATTGATGTTATGTTGTATTCATATCGCGAATCCACACATGAGAAAATGTGTGTAATAAAAACTTGTACTTCGGCCCTGGGTGGCCTTGAACCACCAACCTATCAATTAACAGCCGAACGCCCTAACCGTTTGCGACACAGAGACTGCAACAATGATGTTAAGTTGTATTCATATTGCGAATCCACCCATGATAAATTGAGTTTAAGAAAATCTTGTACTTCGTCCCTGGGTAGGCTTGAACCACCAACCTTTCGGTTAACAGCCGAACACGCTAACCGATTGCGCCACAGAGACTGCAACAATGGTGTTATGTTGTATTCATATCGCGAATCCACACATGAGAAAATGTGTGTAATAAAAACTTATACTTCGTCCCTGGGTGGGGTTGAATCCCTTACCGATTGCGCCACAGAGACTGCAACAATGGTGTTATGTTGTATTCATATCGCGAATCCACACATGAGAAAATGTGTGTAATAAAAACTTCTACATCGTCCCTGGGTGGGCTTGAACCACCAACCTTTCGGTTAACAGCCGAACGCCCTAACCGATTGCGCCACAGAGACTGCAACAATGATGTTAAGTTGTATTCATATTGCGAATCCACCCATGATAAATTGAGTTTAAGAAAATCTTGTACTTCGTCCCTGGGTAGGCTTGAACCACCAAACCTTTCGGTTAACAGCCGAACGCGCTAACCGATTGCGCCACAGAGACTGCAACATGGTGTATGTGTATTCATATTGCGAATCCATACATGATAAATTGAGTTTAGGAGAATCTTGTACTTCGTCCCTGGGTGGGCTTGAACCACCAACCTTTCGGTTAACAGCCGATCGCGCTAACCGATTGCGCTACAGAGACTGCAACATTGATGTTATGTTGTATTCATATCGCGAATCCACACATGAAAAAATGTGTGTAATAAAAACTAGTACTTCGTCCCTGGGTGGGCTTGAACCACCAACCTTTCGGTTAACAGCCGAACGCGCTAACCGATTGCGCCACAGAGACTGCAACATTGACGTTATGTTGTATTCATATCGCGAATCCACACATGCGAAAATGTGTGTAATAAAAACTTATACTACGGCCCTGGGTGGCCTTGAACCACCAACCTATCAATTAACAGCCGAACGCCCTAACCGATTGCGCCACAGAGACTGCAACAATGATGTTAAGTTGTATTCATATTGCGAATCCACCCATGATAAATTGAGTTTAAGAAAATCTTGTACTTCTTCCCTGGGTAGGCTTGAACCACCAACCTTTCGGTTAACAGCCAAAAGCCCTAACCGATTGCGCCACAGAAACAGCAACAATGGTGTTATGTTGTATTCACATCGCGAATCCACACATGAGAAAATGTGTGTAATAAAAACTTTTACTTCGTCCCTAGGTGGGCTTGAACCACCAACCTCTCCGGTTAACAGCCGAACGCGCTAACCGATTGCGCCACAGAGACTGCAACATTGGTGTTATGTTGTATTAATATTGCGAATCCATACATGATAAATTGAGTTTAGAAAAATCTTGTACTTCGTCCCTGGGTGGGCTTGAACCACCAACCTTTCGGTTAACAGCCGAACGCGCTAACCGATTGCGCCACAGAGACTGCAACATTAGAGTTATGTTTTATACATATCGCTAATCCACACATGAGAAAATGTGTGTAATAAAAGCTGTAATTCGTCCCTCGGTGAGCTTGAACCACCAACCTTTCGGCTAACAGCCGAACGCACTAACCGATTGCGCCACAGAGACTGCAACATTAGAGTTATGTTTTATTCATATCGCGAATCCACACATGAGAAAATGTGTGTAATAAAAGCTTGTACTTCGTCCCTGGGTGAGCTTGAACCACAAACCTGTCGGTTAACAGCCGAACGCCCTAACCGATTGCGCCACAGAGACTGCAACAATGGTGTTATGTTGTATTCATATCGCTAATCCACACATGAACAAATGTGTGTAATAAAAACTACTAGTTTGTCCTGGGTGGGCTTGAACCACCATCCTTTCGGTTAACAGCCGAACGCGCTAACCGATTGCGCAACCTTTCAGTTAACAGCCGAACGCGCTAACCGATTGCGCCACAGAGACTGCAACATTAGAGTTATGTTTTATTCATATCGCGAATCCACACATGAGAAAATGTGTGTAATAAAAGCTTGTACTTCGTCCCTGGGTGAGCTTGAACCACAAACCTGTCGGTTAACAGCCGAACGCCCTAGCCGATTGCGCCACAGAGACTGCAACAATGGTGTTATGCTGTATTCATATCGCGAATCCACACATGAGAAAATGTGTGTAATAAAAACTTATACTTCGTCATTGGGTGGGGTTGAACCACCAACCTTTCGGTTAACAGCCGAACGCGCTAACCGATTGCGCCACAGACACTGCAACAATGGTGTTATGTTGTATTCATATCGCGAATCCACACATGAGAAAATGTGTGTAATAAAAACTTCTACATCGTCCCTGGGTGGGCTTGAACCACCAACCTTTCGGTTAACAGCCGAACGCGCTAACCGATTGCGCCACAGAGACTGCAACATTGATGTTATGTTGTATTCATATCGCGAATCCACACATGAAAAAATGTGTGTAATAAAAACTAGTACTTCGACCCTGGGTGGGCTAGAACCACCGACCTTTCGGTTAACAGCCGAACGCCCTAGCCGATTGCGCCACAGAGACTGCAACAATGGTGTTATGCTGTATTCATATCGCGAATCCACACATGAGAAAATGTGTGTAATAAAAACTTATACTTCGTCATTGGGTGGGGTTGAACCACCAACCTTTCGGTTAACAGCCGAACGCGCTAACCGATTGCGCCACAGACACTGCAACAATGGTGTTATGTTGTATTCATATCGCGAATCCACACATGAGAAAATGTGTGTAATAAAAACTTCTACATCGTCCCTGGGTGGGCTTGAACCACCAACCTTTCGGTTAACAGCCGAACGCGCTAACCGATTGCGCCACAGAGACTGCAACATTGATGTTATGTTGTATTCATATCGCGAATCCACACATGAAAAAATGTGTGTAATAAAAACTAGTACTTCGACCCTGGGTGGGCTAGAACCACCGACCTTTCGGTTAACAGCCGAACGCGGTAACCGATTGCGCCACAGAGACTGCAACATTGATGTTATGTTGTATTCATATCGCGAATCCACACATGAGAAAATGTGTGTAATAAAAACTTGTACTTCGGCCCTGGGTGGCCTTGAACCACCAACCTATCAATTAACAGCCGAACGCCCTAACCGATTGCGACACAGAGACTGCAACAATGATGTTAAGTTGTATTCATATTGCGAATCCACCTATGATAAATTGAGTTTAAGAAAATCTTGTACTTCTTCCCTGGGTAGGCTTGAACCACAAACCTTTCGGTTAACAGCCAAAAGCCCTAACCGATTGCGCCACAGAAACTGCAACAATGGTGTTATGTTGTATTCACATCGCGTATCCACACATGAGAAAATGTGTGTAATAAAAACTTCTACTTCGTCCCTAGGTGGGCTTGAACCACCAACCTTTCGGTTAACAGCCGAACGCGCTAACCGATTGCGCCACAGAGACTGCAACATTGGTGTTATGTTGTATTCATATTGCGAATCCACACATGATAAATTGAGTTTAGGAAAATCTTGTACTTCGTCCCTGGGTGGGCTTGAACCACCAACCTTTCGGTTAACAGCCGAACGTGCTAACCGATTGCGCAACCTTTCGGTTAACAGCCGAATGCGCTAACCGATTGTGCCACAGAGACTGCAACATTAGAGTTATGTTTTATTCATATCGCAAATCCACACATGAGAAAATGTGTGTAATAAAAGCTTGTAATTCGTCCCTCGGTGAGCTTGAACCACCAACCTTTCGGCTAACAGCCGAACGCACTAACCGATTGCGCCACAGAGACTGCAACATTAGAGTTATGTTTTATTCATATCGCAAATCCACACATGAGAAAATGTGTGTAATAAAAGCTTGTAATTCGTCCCTCGGTGAGCTTGAACCACCAACCTTTCGGCTAACAGCCGAACGCACTAACCGATTGCGCCACAGAGACTGCAACATTAGAGTTATGTTTTATTCATATCGCGAATCCACACATGAGAAAATGTGTGTAATAAAAGCTTGTACTTCGTCCCTGGGTGGGGTTGAACCACCAACCTTTCGGTTAACAGCCGAACGCGCTAACCGATTGCGCCACAGACACTGCAACAATGGTGTTATGTTGTATTCATATCGCGAATCCACACATGAGAAAATGTGTGTAATAAAAACTTCTACATCGTCCCTGGGTGGGCTTGAACCACCAACCTTTCGGTTAACAGCCGAACGCGCTAACCGATTGCGCCACAGAGACTGCAACATTGATGTTATGTTGTATTCATATCGCGAATCCACACATGAAAAAATGTGTGTAATAAAAACTAGTACTTCGACCCTGGGTGGGCTAGAACCACCGACCTTTCGGTTAACAGCCGAACGCGGTAACCGATTGCGCCACAGAGACTGCAACATTTATGTTATGTTGTATTCATATCGCGAATCCACACATGAGAAAATGTGTGTAATAAAAACTTGTACTTCGGCCCTGGGTGGCCTTAAACCACCAACCTATCAATTAACAGCCGAACGCCCTAACCGATTGCGACACAGAGACTGCAACAATGATGTTAAGTTGTATTCATATTGCGAATCCACCTATGATAAATTGAGTTTAAGAAAATCTTGTACTTCTTCCCTGGGTAGGCTTGAACCACAAACATTTCGGTTAACAGCCAAAAGCCCTAACCGATTGCGCCACAGAAACTGCAACAATGGTGTTATGTTGTATTCACATCGCGAATCCACACATGAGAAAATGTGTGTAATAAAAACTTCTACTTCGTCCCTAGGTGGGCTTGAACCACCAACCTTTCGGTTAACAGCCGAACGCGCTAACCGATTGCGCCACAGAGACTGCAACATTGGTGTTATGTTGTATTCATATTGCGAATCCACACATGATAAATTGAGTTTAGGAAAATCTTGTACTTCGTCCCTGGGTGGGCTTGAACCACCAACCTTTCGGTTAACAGCCGAACGCGCTAACCGATTGCGCAACCTTTCGGTTAACAGCCGAATACGCTAACCGATTGTGCCACAGAGACTGCAACATTAGAGTTATGTTTTATTCATATCGCAAATCCACACATGAGAAAATGTGTGTAATAAAAGCTTGCAATTCGTCCCTCGGTGAGCTTGAACCACCAACCTTTCGGCTAACAGCCGAACGCACTAACCGATTGCGCCACAGAGACTGCAAAATTAGAGTTATGTTTTATTCATATCGCAAATCCACACATGAGAAAATGTGTGTAATAAAAGCTTGTAATTCGTCCCTCGGTGAGCTTGAACCACCAACATTTCGGCTAACAGCCGAACGCACTAACCGATTGCGCCACAGAGACTGCAACATTAGAGTTATGTTTTATTCATATCGCGAATCCACACATGAGAAAATGTGTGTAATAAAAGCTTGTACTTCGTCCCTGGGTGAGCTTGAACCACAAACCTGTCGGTTAACAGCCGAACGCCCTAGCCGATTGCGCCACAGAGACTGCAACAATGGTGTTATGCTGTATTCATATCGCGAATCCACACATGAGAAAATGTGTGTAATAAAAACTTATACTTCGTCATTGGGTGGGGTTGAACCACCAACCTTTCGGTTAACAGCCGAACGCGCTAACCGATTGCGCCACAGACACTGCAACAATGGTGTTATGTTGTATTCATATCGCGAATCCACACATGAGAAAATGTGTGTAATAAAAACTTCTACATCGTCCCTGGGTGGGCTTGAACCACCAACCTTTCGGTTAACAGCCGAACGCGCTAACCGATTGCGCCACAGAGACTGCAACATTGATGTTATGTTGTATTCATATCGCGAATCCACACATGAAAAAATGTGTGTAATAAAAACTAGTACTTCGACCCTGGGTGGGCTAGAACCACCGACCTTTCGGTTAACAGCCGAACGCGGTAACCGATTGCGCCACAGAGACTGCAACATTGATGTTATGTTGTATTCATATCGCGAATCCACACATGAGAAAATGTGTGTAATAAAAACTTGTACTTCGGCCCTGGGTGGCCTTGAACCACCAACCTATCAATTTAACAGCCGAACGCCCTAACCGATTGCGACACAGAGACTGCAACAATGATGTTAAGTTGTATTCATATTGCGAATCCACCTATGATAAATTGAGTTTAAAAAAATCTTTGTACTTCTTCCCTGGGTAGGCTTGAAACCACAAACCTT